TCTACAAACTGAATCAAACATTTTTAATAGGCAATTCTATTAATTGATTCTATATGTATCATATAAGATTCTATAGAGGAATCTTTAAAAACTGCAAATAATCTTATAGAATGACTGCACAAATCTTAAAAGAATAGCTACACACACATTCATATAGAATTATACATAACTCTATAAAAGCTCTATCTAAAATTTTAATTTTATTTTGAAAATATTTATATTTTTTTGCGAGTAAGCATTCACACTTGGACTGTAATTGAAAATGTGAACAAATCGAATCGAATTCGCTCTACGAATTCATCTTCATCGAATTCGCTCAAAGGGAATGCATAAATCTTCACTGAATCGGTTTTTCCCAGCCCTTTGCGACTTGCAAAATTTTACCTGTGTAATCATGAGAACAACAATACGCTGGAAAACACCATAGAAAGTCTTCGATTAACGTCCTTTTGAGGCAAGTACTTTCATCCATCAAAGAACGATGTTTTTCTGTTAACAATTCGCTCTCCCATTTTGTGCTTTCGCCATATGCTGTAGTCTAAAAAATAAACTAGGCATTAAGTCCAAGTATTTTCTTCATGCTTACAAAATAATCTGCATAGATTTAAGAACAGTGATTTTTCCGTATTTTTGACTGTGATTTTTGTGAACAGTATTTTGCCCACAGTTTATCCAGGAGGATTATTCAAGATAGCCACGTGTCTCATGATTTTCATGAACTATGAAAGAACTCTCAAATACTGTAAAAATGATGGTGGAATCTGTTTTGTCTCTTTGAAAATGTTTGACGTACTTTATTTAGTAGTTGCTAAGAAAAAGAAATAAAGTAATCACATGTGAAAGTGGTGAGACTAGTTATCGGTACTATACAAGTAAGGACTACGTACAAATGTTATTCTAATTTGCTAGTAATAGACTAAAAGGCGCTAATATTTATCGTAACTTTTAAAATTCACTTATTACATTCTATGTTCAATGTATTTATTTTTATTTTAAGATCACGTATTTATTGGACACTAATTGAAATTTGCATCATTAATTAACTTTCGATATTTCCTTTCGTGTAGTATGTACTAAGTTGAACATAATAACCTAATTATTTGGTACAATAATATTCTATTATAAGAATTTTATAGACATGGCTTTGAGAAAACTGGGCTATAATTCTGATGGACTCTGAAGAAGTTTTAAGATTATGTACTTTTTGTTATAGAATTCTATAAGACATTTTTTGAAGGCATAACCTCAATATTTGTAAACCTCCTCGAGTTTTGCTGAAATGCCTGCCAGAAAATTTTCACATTTAATCCACAACTCGGGGCCCTTTAGACCTTATTCCTATACACAAACATCGAATGCTTTCAAATAGTCTAAGCCACTACTCCGAATGTTCGCGAATTCGAGACTGCAGAACGCCTTTTGCTGTGCTGCCACCGTTGCGAGCGTTAAAAAGCAACTCAGAGTTGAGGTGGGTACGTTCTAGCCACTCTTCAAAGCTTAGAATCTACTTTTTCAAATGATGAGTGAAGAGGCTTGGAGACTATGAAACAGAACATCGAAACCTTTTTGACTAACCTTATACTTCATATTCCGGCTTATAAACTTGCACCGGTGTATAACGCGCAAATTTCAAACTACATTTTTTTAGTTTTTAGGTATATTCTACTTATAACGCGCACCCTTTTCTTTACAGAGAAACCTGAAAAATATATGTGAGATGATCTTATCTTTTGAAATTATTTTGAACTGAGTACTGAAAAGTACTGAATTGAGAGGCGATAAGGGGAACAATATGTGTGTGGGGGAAATGCTTGAGGAAGTACGATATTTCCACGAAGAGGATGCATTTTATTCAATGTAGCTGTGCACAAGAATGTTATTCTAAGGTTTCAGAAAAGGGGGCATTTGAGGTAAGAACATACTTTTATGTTTCTGTAGTCATTTGAAGCAGCGATTTTAAAATGAATATGGAAGGCAAGGAAGAAAATTGAACCCGATATAATTTAAAAGACTTAACAACTGTAGTATATCTAACAATCTAGGTGAAATGGAAGATGATTATTTATTAATGGATCAGCATAACAGAGGCGGTGAAAAAGAAACAGAATTCGGTGATGCGATTGAAGACAAAGAAACACGACTATGGCGATTTTTTTTATGTTATCTGATAAGGAAATTTTTAAGTTCATAAGAAATGTTATTTTTTGTAAACAAACAGCATTCAGATACACTGCGGGAAAAAAAGGGGACAGTTCTATATCTCCTGTTCTAATGGGCTGATTGACGAAATTCAACTTGCATTTTTTATGTTTCGAAAGCGTGACTTAGGACATGTATTAGATTTATATATAACATTGTTCTAATACAATTGTTTCAAAAGAACAAAAGTAAAGTTAAATTAAATTTAAATAATTTAAATGATTTGAAAAAGTAAATGATATTGTAGATTAGGTAGCAGCAATTAATCATTTATTTGTAATTCAGTTTCATTATTTAAAATTTAATTAACTTTAAATTTGATTTTTACGAATACAGAATGTTTGCTAAATTGTTCTAATATAGATATTTTAACGCAAAATCGGACCTTTTCTAAAATGACATGCCAATGTTTTTCCATATTTCGATTCTACGACTCAAATTATGCCAAACTACCAAGTTTTGTAAACATCACGCGAGTAGTTTTTAAAATATTAGCTCTCAAGATTTTAGCTCCTCCATGTTCATTGAATTTGATATATATTTATTAATATTTAATTTCTTAATAAGCTTATTTGATTCTTGCCTTCATATTTCGAAATTTAAGTTCATTCCAAATAAAATTCGTCCGTTTTTTATGATTTATTCTTAAAATTTGTATTTTTAAATAATTTTATAAAATTTTTCGAAAAATATTTTCAATTATAACCTATTAACATTTTGCTATGATCTTAAAGTAGATGCATTTCTAAGCATACCTGCAAAAAAATTAGTTTTTTATTCAAAATTTCCTAAGACGTAGGTGAATTTACATTTTGGCGTGTTTTGAAATTTGGCGTATTTATCATAAGCGATGATAACGAAAATGTGGTTTGTGGACTTCGTCAAAATTATTTGAAAGTTTGAACGATGACCTTTATTTCCGCTCATGGACAAAGAAGAAAAATGAAAGGAAAATAGGTTGCTATACATTAACAAGCTCCCATTCTTGGCACAAACTGAAAAAAATTCGACAAGGTAAATTTTTAAATTTCTATATAAATTTCTCACCAAAAATTACAAAATTTAACATCTAGACATAATTTGAGTCGTAGAAACGAAATATGGAAAAAAATGTGAATGCTATTTCAGAATAAGTCCGATTTTGTGTTAAAATACCTATGTTAGAACAAAGCTATATACACTGACTACCAATAAGTATTTGGAGACCTATGCAAATGACGATATCTGCGGCCCTAAGGTACGTCACGGACTCCGCCGGTATATATCATGTAGGAAACAGCATCGGCTTTAGTCGCATGCAAGATGCCTTGCAGTTCAGAGCTCTCTGATTTCAAGAAAGGTATAATTATCGGGTATCACAAATGTGGCCGATCCTTAAGGGACATGTCTAGCGATCTGAAGTACCCAAAATCGACAGTGGCCTATGTGATTAAGAAGTGGAAGGTGAGCGGTGACTGTGGGAATGTGCCCCGACTCGGCAGACCAAAGAAACTGGGAGATAGAGACCGACGAGTGCTGTCCAGAGAAATTCGGAAGAACTGCACCCAACCGATGGCCCTCATCCGCGAGGAGTTTCAACAGGCATCTGGGAGTATTGTTTCAATGAATACCATCCGTAAGGAAGCACATCTGCTTGGTTTTCATGGTCGTGCTGCTACCCATAAGCCTTTGATCACAAAGTCCAACCGCGCTGCTCGGTTAATGTGGTGCAAAGCACATCGAAATTGGACCGTAGATCAGTGGAAACGGGTTCTTTGGAGTGACGAATCAAGGTTCACCCTTTACCGTTCGGATGGCAGGGTCTGGGTCTGGCTTCTACCTGGAGAACGTCTCCTGCCAGAATGCATTGTGCCAACAGTCAAGTTCGGCGGAGGTGGAATTATGGTCTGGGAGTGTTTCTCCTGGTATGAACTGGGACCCTTGGTCCCCATTCATGGTAAGCTCAACTCCGATGCCTACTCCACTATTTTGGATGACAATGTGCTTCCTACGTTGTGGCAGTTTTACGGGTTGGACCCCTGTTACTTTCAGGACGACAATGCCAGTTGTCATGTTTCGACGTTAACCAAGGCTTGGTATGGTGCCAATGGAGTTCATCGAATGGACTGGCCTGCCCAGAGTCCAGACCTGAACCCTATCGAGAACCTCTGGGACCAGTTACATCGCCGAATTCAGGGGTGCACTACCCGTGCAAAATCGGTGAAGGAACTACTATGCCTTCTCCAAGCCGAGTGGAAGAAAATACCACTAGCTGTACAAAGACTGTGGAAACTGTTCACACAAAGACTTGTGGAAAGTATGCCCCGGAGGGTCCACGCTGTAATTACCTCGTGGAGGCTCTACCAACTATTGATTTCGAATAAAGTTAGTTTATCTTTTATATCACAGGTGTCCAAATACTTATTGGTAGTCAGTGTATAAATCTAATACATACTTTAAGTCACGCTTTCGAGACATGGAAAACGCAATATGAATTTCGTCAATCGGCCAGTACAATGGGAGATAGAACTGTCCCACTTTTTTTTCGCAGTGTACAGGTAGAAATATAATCTATATATACTCATCGTTTCCTTATTTTTAACCTTAGAATTTTTATATTCGACGTATAAAGCGCACACGTAGATTTCGATCTTAAAGTGCACGTTATACGCCGAAATGTACGGTATTTTACGATGTAGGTGTTTTCTCGAATGGGGAACATTAGAATGGAACAGTAGAAAATCATTTCGATTAATACATGGACCGTTTTTTAAAGCGATTAAATGAAACAATGGGTGGACATGTAATTGATAATACAGTCGAAAGATCAGTCTAAAACTTTTAATGTTTTAAACAGAATGCTGTGTAACATTATATTACCAATGCAATTGACAGTTCTAATGATAAGGTATAATTTTAGTTTAATATCTCTAAAGCAGGCGAAGAACAAAAGTACAGTACTTGAACGTTATATTTCACTTTTCCAGTTGTACCTCATAGATTAAAATTTATATTTAACTCTGTTTTATTCGATCATTCGCACATTTCGGACTGTCTCACAGGCTAAGCCCTCAGAATGCTAGTGGTAAGCTCTTCAGTCAACTCTTTGGGCCTCAAAGCAGTTCCACACAATAACCAACAGTTCACAGCTTTCGAACATTCGTTATGCTAATGATTTCTCTCAAGGATTCAAAATGTGAAATTCGATGGTGCTTGTATTTCAGTTTGGCTGCTATTGTACCACATAATATTTACGCAATTTTCCTCGAATTTTCTGTGGTATGGTATAGCTTCCTTGCCACGCAGCACAGCTATAGTTTGCTTTTATAAACACTTTGATGTCAAGAAGGCTGTTAAAACAAACCACAGAAGATGCTTAGTGCTGCAAAGGTTTCTCTCAAATTCGCCCCATTTTTGGCATTTTGATATTTACTCGTTCCAACGTATGTTTGGTCAGCTGAAGCGAATGAATTCAAACTAACTTCGTCCGATTCTATTTGTTTACTGTACAAGTGAACGATGTTTTTTGTAACATCGACAACAACGATCCACCACGACGACTCCTTCCGCGAATTTATATTACATATCTTCCGAAAGCCATTTTATATTCAGGCAAATTCGTTTATTTCTAAGGTATTTATTGCGTATAATTTTCACACAATGTATTCATCTCATACCTATCACAAGAACAATGTTATAAACCATATTCACAACAACTTGCCGATGGCTTCCGGCAACGAAGACTCGAAAAATTATTTTTAAAATTTTGTGTAAAATTACACAAATATTTATCTGATGATCTGTTATATATATAGATAGATGCGGAATAAAGTATCTGAATGTTGCAAACAAAATAAAAACAAAACGAAAGATATTTGTCATGATAGAGCAGCAAGTTCTTTCGAGGAACTGGATACCTAATCATTTCGCCATTCCTTTGAGTTCTATTGTCAGAGAGTAAGACATGCATAATGGCGCAGCAAATAACGAAAGAACCGTTGCCACTCAGGAATGAAGTTCATGCAAAGACTTAGAAGACCAAGTAATAGTTGGAACGAGACAACGTAGCGTGCCAATCGAAAGAAGTCGAGGTTGATGTTTTGCCCTCACACGTACCACTCTTTGAGGTCTTTGATGTCCTTCTTCTTCGACAGTTTAACAAGTTTGTTCTGAGCTGGATCGCACTTGACAGCTCCATTCATGTGTTGCGCGGAGGGGGGTTGGGACTGGTAGGGCGCTGTACCGGCTGGTGGGAAGTGGTACCTTTTAGCTGATTCATCGACTTTGTAGCCCGCGGCTCCTGGACTTGCTGCCAGGGTCCAGCTGCGCACGCGGAACACGACAAGGGCCACGATAACGACGACGATGAGCACACCAGCTATAATTCCAATAACCATTGCTGTATTGTCGGCTGCCGATGACGTCTTGACTTTTGGCGGGGGTTTGTTGCGATTACTGCCAGTTACAGGTAAGTCTGGAATGGGTACATCTATCACGGAGAGAGGAGGTCTAGTGGATGTCCTGTGGGGAGGGCGGGGTGTTTGCTGAGGAATACTTGGCATCAAAGGTGGTGCAGGTGGCGGCCGCCGATGACTGATACCTATTTCCTCTGGTGGAGGTCTTCGATAGGGTGGTTCTGCAGGTGTCGGAGGTATAGATGGCGGAGTTATCTCAACTTTGTGAAGGACATCGTGGGTGGGTGGTGGAATGACACGAGGAGGGTAGATAAAACTCTCTGAGACATCACGATGGCCACTATTAGTAGTTACAAATGATGGAGTAGCAGGGGTGTGCTGGTTAGGTGTAAAGCCTACTTCCCCCAGCCCTGATCCACCATCTACGCAGTCTTCTTCATCATCGCAGGTTGTGTCCTCCAGGCCGCCAGCGTGACGAGGAGGTGCCGACGATCGGCCGTGGATGTAATTACCATTTCCACCTGAAGATATACTAGGGGTGGTGCGAGCGTAAGGTCTGGGTGTTGGTGGGATGTACACGGGTGTAATAAGGTCATCGCCTGCAATGAAAGAGAAGAAAATATACCAGTTTTACACGTGATTCAATACAGCAGAAATAACATTTCGTAACCGTGATTATTTTTAAAAAAGAAATTATTATTAGGGCTAAATAAAAGATTGAGAAATTTTGCCAATTGCACTTTCTTAGTATTTTATGAATTTTAAATTACTCCTTTAGTCAAATATACGCAGTTAGGAAAATTAGCCCTTGCATAATTAAATATAACAACTCCACTGATTGTTCAACTCAAATCAATACATTGTTCAGATGAAATCAATTCACTAAGCATAATAACTCAATTTATTATTCCACTTAACTCAATTCTTTAACTATAAAAACTCAGTTCCCTCAAGTATAACAACTCAGTTGCTTCATTAATATAATTCCTTATACATATCTTTACAAAGTTACATAAAATACCGGAAATATTGCAGTATTAATTACTATTTATTAGAAGACTTTCAATGTAATTTTCAAAATTCAGAAAACGCGAATTACGTTTAAATATATCTGCTTTTCCAATTTCAGATGGTATCAAATTTATCTACGAACTTGTAAATGGAATTTTACAGGCACAAGCAGATATGCAAACTAAGCAAATTCTTATTATGATGTACACTCTGCACGCACACGCACAAAAACAGGGGGCGGGACAGTTCTATATCTCCCGTTTTATGGGGGCTGCTTGACAAAATTTAATTTGCATTTTTTATATCTCGAAAACGTAGCTTAGGATATTATTATCATTTATCATTAGAAGGGCACAGCCCCGATCCTTCTAGCAGGCACAAGCCGTCCGTATGATAAAAAAATTGTGGCTGGACAGAAAAAAAATATAATTAAAAACAAGAAGTGTCCAAAATCCGAGTCTCAGTGCCGAATTCCAATTCTATCTTTGTTCGTATTTATAATTTTTATTGTTGTCTCTGCAAAATCTTTCAAATTTGAATAGTTCCTTTTAATTCTTTTTGTATTTCTCCCTTGCACTCCGTGTAAGCGTTCATTCATCGACGAAGTGCCTGGCATCTTCAAACTTATCACAAATTAAGCATTTATCATTATTCTGTAGACGGAACCGATTGAAATAACCCGGGAAACGCCCATGATGAGTCAGTACCTGATTTATATCAGCATTATTTATAATATTCATCTTCTCGTTTAGCTTTATATTTTTCATTAACTTTCTTTTATTATTAGACGACTCTCAGCAAAAATTCCATTCTGTATAAATCCAGTTTTCCGTTTCAGCAATGGTGTTTTTTCTTGAATGTTGGATATCAAAATAATCGATCCCCTCTCCAAGTGCCGCCTTTTTAGCAAGGGTTCCGCCCTTTCATTTCCGACAATTCCACTGTTTGCTTTTACCCAGTGTAATTTAACAATATGTTTTGTTTCAGCCTCTTTAAATAAATCTTTTATTTCATGAATCAGTCTATTTTTATAATTTGGCTGGGAGAGTGTCTGTAGCACAGATAGGGTATCAATATAAATATTTATAAAACATCGAACTATTAATATTTTATTAATCCAATTCAAAGCCTCTGTCATTGCGTATAGTTCTGCTTGATAAATCGAATTCGTTGGCTTAAGTTTTATTCTCAAATTGTCTATCTCCACTCCATGAAAATAGATTACCACAGCTCTACCCACTCCCCCCTCCATTCCAGAACCGTGTGTAAAAACGTCTATTTCGCAACCAGAAGGAAAATAAAGATCATAAAATAATCCGGAATCGTGTCATTGGGTGAGTTCTCTTGTTGTTCGTCATTCTCTTGTTGAAAAGCCTTACGTTTGTACGTTTTGTGCAATTTCAGTATCTATAATAATTTTATTAGCTAATAGAAACCTTTTGTAGTATAATTTGTATAAAATCGAGAGGGGCGGAACACCCGAAAGGACGCAGGCAACTTCAGTCGTAGATTTATATATAGCCTTGTTCTTACATAGGTATTTTGACACGAAATCCGACTTTTTCTGAAAGAACTACCCATTTTTTACCCCTTTTATTGTAACAATTATAACAAAATGCATAAACGCCATTGCGCGTTATTATCTCTTGTAACAAATCTGTCAACGGGCTGGCTGCATGGACGGTTTCGTGTTTTTTCCCCATGTGTATCGTGTATACTATAAGGTATTTTCTACTTCTTACTGCACGTTTTCCTGGTGTAACGGTAGCACATCAAAACGTGTATTCGAGAAGTCCAGGTTCGAGTCCCGTGGAAGGCACTGCTCATTTTATTATGTTCTGCTTCAAAAACTCCTAATGTCTCTACAGTGGCACCGGAACTAAAAAGCAGTGGATGATGCTTCTTCACCATCAGGATTTGGCCCTTAATTCCCAGTCGCCCTTTAAAAAGATGAGTATTTTCTCCCTCCTTTCTGCATGCCTTCGAGGAGTAAGGGTAGCACACTCGGCTCGTATTCGAGAGGTGCAGGTTCCAGTCCCAGCGAGGGCATTGCACATTTTTCATCCCTCCTGCTTCAAAAATAACCTGATGACTCTACAACACGAGCCAACTTTCCTTAGAAAGTTCTCCGCGAAGGAATCCCTCCCCTTAGGCTGATAGCCCTTGCCATAATGAAATAAACCAAAAACCAAACCCTCCAAATATAATCAAAAGACAGCCGTAAAAGAATTATAAGTTGTATCTGCCTTTTATAGATAAAAATGTAAAATTGCTCGTGTTTTAACTTCAGAAAATCTTTCAACTCTTCCCAAATATTTTCTATTCATTATGCGGAATTATATTTATAGATATATATATATTTACAACAGATTTTTAACAAGGAAGCGTGGAAATAAGAAAGAAAATATCGAAACAAACATTTCGAATATATTTTTCGCAATCTCTACTCTTTAACAAATCATTTAAAAACGCAAGATATTAGAAAAAATGTTTATATTTTAGATTGAAAATGTTATTTTTATATTTCTCCTGATAAGAATATTTTGGACTAAAAACCACAACTGGTTTTATCAGACGTAAAGGTGCATTAAATATTAATGAGACTTTTTAACAGAGCTAACGATTTTTATTTTTTTGCCAAGACAACCCCAAAAATTTAAGTCTTTAAATTTTAATGCAAAACTCTTCAATTTATGTAAAGGGCCAGAATGTAACTTACAACTTAAAAAAATAATCTGTCTTTTTGTGGTGTTTTACTCAAATTTCTTTGTATTTCATTTTTCGAAAAAATTTTCTTAAACATAAACATAGAGATCGGGGAACCCATAAAAATTTAGATTTAGTATTTTTTATAAAATTGATGTTTTTAAAGTTTAAAATGCGAAAATATGAATATGTCAAAAATATAACGGTTGCGAAAATATAACTTAAAATATCTTGTTCTTACCTGTAGTTGGTTCAGCTTCTCCACAATCATCTTCGTCATCGAAACAGCCAGAACCGCCACCCCCAGAATACACCAAATCGTCTCCTTCGTAATTAGGAGACCCGGCGTGCTGAAAAAGAAATAAAATCAATCAATAAAAAAGAAAAAAAATCTGAATGGTTTCAGATTCTATCGGTCGCTCAAAAGAGTTTGTTAAGGTTTTTTACGCTCTCGATGAGATCGCAGTCTACCAGTCCGCAGTTTCATTCACTTCAACTAAACGACACTTTTTTTTCTCAGCCTCAGTATTAAGCATCATTGTCTTCGCATTTACGCCATATACTAACAGCAAAACTGCAAAAATTTAACAGCAGCATAGCAGTGCACGTTTAGAATTACGATGCAGCATTAAGTGGTGGAATATATTTTTCTAATACTTTTATCAGTTTATCATATCAATGTACAGTTTTCTTACTAATATATGGCTTTAATTTTTTTTCTTTTCATTATTAACGTTTAATCTGTTTACTTCATTTATGAAATATCATGTTCTTGGCGCTTACCCACGTAAAATTCCATTCAACGGCAAAACCACAAAATATTTCCAAACAGCATATCTTTAGAATTTCCGATCGACAGTCTCGCGCACTGGACATAAAATTGTTTTATTACAGTGTTGGTACTGCTGGGTTTTAAATTGTTGAGTTTGCTAATAAAAAATTCGTTGAATGTTTTCAAAATATGAAAGAGATACCTTTGACACATAGTATTATCTAAACAAAAATTGAAAACCATTAGTACCACAACTACAAAGTACTATTACCACCCCCACTCTTGAACAAAGCTCAGATCGCATAAATTTACGAGTGTTAGAGAAAACACTCGATCAGGATGTTGGGGTTTTAATTTTTGAATTTAATAGTTAAACATACTTTGTGTACCACCTATTTTTCTCTTTACCACCAGTAGTACGCTGTACCCAGAATCCCTTCTGTAGAGCACTAGGTTAGTTTGAAACAGAAGATGTAAGAAATGAGCAATGCCTTCGCTTGGACTCGATCCTGGGCTTCTCCAATACGCGTAGAGTGTGCTACCGTTACTCCACGAAGGCATGAAGAAAGAAGACAGAAAATATGTTATAATAACAACGGCATTTTACGGCGAAACATTGAAGTGTTTCACCGTAAAATGCCGTTTCGAGACTAATATCCCATTCCTGACTAACGTCCCTTTTGGAAATTTAAAAATATTTTCTTGCACTCAAAATTTACCTTCTGATAAATTGCTAAAATAGGAGGAAAGCCCATGGGATAAAAAAAAAATGATGTTCCGAAAATTTTCGCCTTTGTATGTATCATATAAATAATACCAAACAAAGAGTAAAGAAATTAAAGAATTTTTCCCTCTTGTTGAGCCAATGAAGAAATTGCGTAAATTTTCTGAAGCGCTGCGACTGAAATCGTTATACTCCTTAACTCAGCACAATTTCGTTCTTTGCTTAGATAACGGGCTAATCCCCGGTATGATCGTGTTGTGTTTAATTAACACACACGCATATCCTATCAAGGGACTTCCATGTACTCCTAATATAGATTTTCTTTACAGAATCCAATTATTAACACACACGCATATCCTATCAAGGGACTTCCATGTACTCCTAATATAGATTTTCTTTACAGAATCCAAAATAGTGTTGCGTGCGTGGAGTTTATTTATCTTTTAAACTACTAAAACGTTCAACAGAACTTAAGTCAAAACAGAGAAAGCTAATCCGATTTCATCGCGAATTCGCTACGGTAAACACAACAGTTATCGAAGCAACAACTGAATTGAGATGTTTTCCTCCAGCTTTTATAAGCTCTTTAAATCACGCGCGAGAATCTTCTCGTATTTTCTGTACTCTTCTGGATAGCGAATGAGTACAATTACGTGATGTCAATTCATTAAAATATTAAATGCACGTGCTCCAGTATTTTAATTTTTCCGGCATAGCTTTCTCTTCAAATAAGTCTCGTGCTGCATTGCACGGGAATATAAAGCAATTTTAATTACAAATTCTACTAAAATAATTAAATAAATACAAAATCCGTAACAATATTACTTGACAAATAATAATATCACTTTGGTTTAGTAGGAACGTGTGACGGAAATGAAAAAGTGTAAAGTTTCGTGCGAGTTACCAAAACTGGCAAATAAACCCACCTGCTGCATTTGGTGATGGTCAGTAGGCACCGATCTTTGCTGAAGACTCAAAGGCAACGACATCAGGAGTTCTACATCCCCTTGGACCATTATCCGAGGATCGTCCTCGGCTGCCATGTCCAGTATACGGTCTCCGTTCACCACGAGACCCGAGATGATGCCTTGGAAAGGCCTCTCGATGCCACCTCTTAATGGGTCTTTCTTTCCACCGACTTGAATGGTTGAATGACTGTTGAATACCGTCAGCTGACGACCTGAAAAGGAAACGTCATTACAAATCGAATATGGAAAAATAATATTTAAAACAAATGCGTAATAATAGAAAGAAAAAAATCTGAAAGCTTTCAGACTTTATATTACCCCCAAAGGGGCGTTTATTTTCCGATAGAACGTCTGGCGCGCTGGAGGAAAAAAAATATTGCGTATAGTGTGTTGCCACTGCTCGCCTACAAATGGTTGAGTTCTTTAATCAAAAATGGTTAAAGTTTAAAAATTATGTAATAAATAATAAAAAAATCGAAACTCAAGATTCGGCTAAATTTAAACAAATTCAGAAAGTAGGTATAACAATACTTTTAATAATATTTAAGTGTAGAAGTACTTTTAACTGCATATATTTTTGAACAAAGCATCTCCAAACTTTGTCCTTTCTAATTCTGATAAAAACGAAGTCGTTAATTTAATAATGTAACATCTACTAATGCCCCTGTTTTACAAACGTTATTACAATAATAAAATTTAAAGCAATGTTTATTTTTAAACGAACAAATTCTCTTATCTTGTAGAGACAGGCGTGCGAACCACTTTCACGACGATCGTATGCGCATGAGGATGAGATAATTTCTATATAGTTTCAATAATTACAGCTTCAGAGATGACTTATCATTTCAGGACAAAATATATTCTTCTCCGTGCTCTGAAAATTCATACCTAATGTTTGCGAGTCTTTCGTTTAACTCCTTCGCATTGGTCGAGGCCAAAATCTGTTTCTTTCAAATATCTATAACCCTCGTGCATACGAATTTTTGTAGGAAAGGATTTCCTTTAGCCAAGCCAAGTAGAATAAGTGAAACAATAGTTTCTCTCTTGGGGGATTTTTGTGTGGTTTCAGCCACTGTGTGCAGTTTCCTGTTAGAAGAGGATTGCGAGCCTCAATAACTAAACGCTGATGCTAAACAAAGGAAAGGAAAGGTGCATTCAAAATAACAGAGCTGCTTTTAGTCGCTTCAATAGAATGATTGGCATGTCATTTAACAACTCCCGAAACCCCTGGCCATGCACTAACGTGATGGGGAAAAGCACCAAGTCGAAATGGATGCAGGCGCTCGGGCGAGCTGCCGATATCTGAATGTTCGGGCGTTTAGGACGATTTCGCTGTGGAAGAGTTAAGCATCATCTATCATTTTCATACATATTAAAGTTTTTAAATAGTTATTTGACCGTTTTCACTGAAGCTAATATACTCCTTCAAAATAAAAAAACTATAATTAAAGTCTAACTTTTATAAACTTTGGGGAAATGTTTCATACCTGGGGGATGTTTGACTTGGACGTTGTGGTCGTCGACCTGTATTGTCGAGTTGGCGCCGGATCTAGTGAATCGTACCACGTGATATTGTCCGTCATTGACATGGACGCTGTGTTCCCCAATTGGATGATCCTCCGTTCCCATGTTGTACAACATGTAAACGTTGCCATCCACCTGTTCAAAAGTAAAAACTGAGTTAAAAGAAAAATATTGGAAACATACTAATAGATTAAAAAAAAAAAAAGAACTATATATTGCTAGGGAAAGAGCCCACGGCTGATACAAAAATATTAGATGTAAAGTGAAGTTTTCATTTAAAATTAAACGATATTAAAACGCTTCTTGAAAGTTTCGTATTTCTAAACAGATAAAACATTTACGAATCAAAGTTTCTCATGTAAAAACGTATGACAGGGTAAAGAAAGCAGTTATGCAGTATCTTCAGATCTGATTCGGTTTATGAATCATTTTCTTTAAATTAAACATGTCTAATTCACGGCTTAAATAAATACCGCTGTGTACAATTCATGGTCAGTAATAATGTCCGTATACTAGAGAAAAATGAGTAAAGGGTAAATGCATGCGGTGGTTCGATCTGAAAATGTGAACTAGTTTGCTAATTCTTTAGAGCAAAGGAATGCTTTCTGAATATGTGTCTTCAAAGTAAAAAAACAGCTTGTACGGGGAAGACGCATTAGGTTCAGGTGCATTTAAACTGAGAGTTCTGAATGTTTAGATGAAAGCTTCTGGTAGTTGCTTCTTGCTCTTGCCAGCTTTCTCTAAAGATATATTCCAGCTTTAGCTAAATGTTCTAAAATACGTGCCGGTAAATTTCTAAACCATCTTAATTAGTTTACTTCTGTGTAGAATTACTATGAGCGAGCAAATACCGAAAGATGTATCTGTGGAGCCATGGTCAAACCATAAGATTACTTGACCCAATGCCCTCTAACCGCACAGTGGCATGTGCAGCTTCCGGAACAGGCAATTTCTCACAAGCGTTATCTGATCAAACAGCCAGCCAGCATTTCGTAGCAGAATATGCAAGATAATGCAGAAACTGGAGGAATTGGGGAACAGACTTGTGCAGTGCGGAATAGATCCCAGTCAATCTCTCTCTTTTATTTATTTATTTATTTTTTGTTTTCCAGCAGATTTAGTAGAGATCAGCATTGCGTAAGTACTGTATATGTTATGAAACATGTATATTGTATGTATTATGGACAATGAAAATTATTACAAACTATGTATTGCTTAAGTACTGTATATATTATGAAACATGTACGTATTATGGCCAATGAAAATTTAAGCATGCATTATGAAACAGGATTTATGTATTATGAACTACTTCTATGTAAGCATGTACTATGAACTATGTCTATTATGAACTATGTAAACGTATGTTATGAACCATGTAAGCATGTGTAAGTATGAACTATGTAAGCATGTTTTATGAACAGGATCAATGTATCCCTTATGGGGCCCATGAGGTGTTGCCCCAGATAGTTGCGGAGTTTGGACTAGAACCCGAATAGTCTAAGTCAGCCGCATGGGTGTTCAGACTCTACTCTCAACTCAGCCCACCAGCGGCCGAGCGGTAAAGTCACTGAACGCTGGTAGTTCGTATCCCGCGAACGGGCTGGCTGCATGGGCGTTTTCGTGGTTTTCCCCATGCGTAACGTGTATACGAGCCAGTTTTCCTTAGAAAGTCCTCCACGAAGGCATCCCTTTCCTTAGGCAGGTAGCCCTCGAGGTTTTACCATAATCACACACACACACACTAATCAACTCACATTGAAACTTTGTATTATGCTAATTTAAATGCCCGAAAGGTAACTAAAGTACGTTGTAGCACGAGCTTTTCCTGTACTATTTAATTTAAGACTACTAAAAATTTCTGAAGGGGACAGCCACGTGACTTCCTTGTACGGTCTAAAAGTATTCACAATTTGTTGCACTCCATTTAAACTCATTTCTTCGAATTTCGTTAGAGATATATTTATCATTCAATCAGTTCAGTTCTCACTTCGTGGCAAGGCAAAAATACATAAAATCTCAGAACATTTTTACTAAAAACTGTAAAATATATTGAAACATAAAACACCAAATACAGATAAAAACAGCTAATAAAACAATTTTTACATTTAAAAGTAGAGTTTCTACGAGAAAAACAAGCTATTCGGCCAATGAACAAGAAGATAAAAAATTTTCGGTGCACAAAGCTGAAAGTTAAATTTTGGTCGTACTGGGCAAAAAAATTCTGAAGTTCGTGAAACAGCGGACTTGAGTCACTATTCTACTAAGTTAAGTAAACAAATGCTGTTTCGTTAGGCCTAGCATCAGGTAAGCTTTTAAACTGTCGATAATTCTACAACTATTGTTTGCAGATTAAGTAAAGGCATAAAACACATAACCGAAATATAAGAACAATATAATTCAATCACTCTTAAAGCTAAAATGCATAATTTAACAACATATAAGAATGAAAAAAAAAATAGCTCAATGAGCTGGATAACAGAATGGAAAGATATATATGTACTTTTATGTGCTTGTTGCGGCCGATTACATTAAACATTCGGGAGGACGTGTTTAGGATGTTAAGGGATATTTTGGTGAGTTCTGAAGATGCAGTAAGGAGAGCTTGAAACCCTTATAATATCCCATACTTTGTCGATAAGACCTAGAGAGAATATTCTAAAGATGTACTGTGATGTGATTTTAAGTTTTTAGTTTAGGAGATCTGGAAGATATTCCGGGATGTCCTGAAGGTGTAATAAGAAAGACTTCAAATTATGATAACATCTCGTACTTCGTCGATGAGACCTAGAGAGGAAATTCTAAAAATATACTGGGATAAGACTTTAAGCACTCGAGAGGATGTGTTTAAGAGATTAGAGGGATATTCTGGGATGTCCTGAGGATGTAGTAATTAGGACTGATAACATCCCGTACTTTTCCGATGAGTGGATGTTCTAAGGACATACTGGGATGTGACCTAAGTTCTCGGGAGGTGTGTTTAGGAGGTTAGATGATGTCCTGAAAATGTCCGCTTATCTCGTGAGCAACATCTTGAGATTATCCTTAAGATGCTTTTGCGTTATGAGGGATGTCGTATGGTTAAATAACTAAATATCATTTTAAGGCAGTAAATCTATGCAAAACAATAAAAGAGATCTTCTGATTAGTACCTCTATTTACAGTATAACGTTTAGTGAATGACATGTATGTTAGATCAAAAAGTAATGTACTCGTACAATATAAAAATCTTGGAATAGCCTACGGTAGTGACTTACAATTTCGAGTTCCATATAATCATTCGAAGTCCCACTATCTATGCGCACCAGAACTCCGTTGTCGGTCATGGTGATGAATCCCAATGCCACCAGGTCAGACTTTGTATCAGGCCTTTTGTCGGGTGGGAATGTAAACGTGATTAAGCCAGTCCCCGGTCCAAATTCGTAAGATATGCTTTCTGAAAGGGGAAAAAGAAACAATGAGTTCTGTATTGAAGCGAGAAGTGTTTAAGCATTTCAGAAAAAAAATCATTACTGCAGTTGACAGCAATTCTCGAAAACAAATACTATTTTGGTAATGAGGAAGTATGATCTACCGCTTTTAATTAGTTTGTTATTTTTAATTTTTTTTGTCACTAAAACGCTATTTTTAAACGCGAGCATGCGATAAAATGGTAGGTAAAAAAGAAATAATTGAAACAACAACCCATTTCAGTGCCACCATCTAACAAATAGCTAACTAACTAAAAGCGGGTAGATCTCATACTACATCACTACCAATGTTTTTCTTCAAATTTATGTTTGAATTGTTTTATTTTGACGATCATCTTCTAAGCGATATGTATGAGTTACAAAAAACTCTTCACTATGATCTAGGAAGCTACTAAAGGTTTTTCATTATGGACTATGAACCAAAGTAGATACATGCTTGCGCAATATGGGTTATGAATTCGTTCAAGCACAACATACTGATGAGGTATACATGCTTACAGATAAAACCTTTAACAAGAATGTGATATTTATATTGATATTGTATGCTAGGAAATGCTCTCTCAGAATGGTTATATATTTACCCTCGAACATGAAGTTTTTGTGTACTTTCATTATAGCAAACGAATTTCTTCGGATATTCCATAGTTTCGTGCTGAAACGTGTTTTTCTCGCACTTTACTAAATTTCAGTTAGTAAGTTTCTTGGAGGAGATAAAAACTAGATTTTTCAACAATAATTACATTTATCTTGATAACGTTACCAAATTTATTTAAACTTTTAAAAAAGCATAAAAGTACAAATTACTCCATTTTAAACATTCCACTAATTATATTTATATCAAAGGATTTCTAATATTATTCGGATGTTGCGATTCCGGTAAAGCACAACTCTTTTATACGTGACTCGCGATATTTATTTTATTTATCGTCTGAAAAAAAAAAAACCATTTGTATTTAAAACCAACAGAATATTACAATTATACACAGCCGATTGTTAAATCTTTATTTTGAGTAAATAAAGGGTAATTAACCCTTCTTGAAGTTGAAGTTTCTGTTCTTGCACTTAAGGGGAGTCATCACCTTTACACATTCAAAAAAATCGAATTTTATTTTATTTTATTTATTTATTTTGCATTTTTAGAAACTGCAACCATTTCTGAGTCTGTTGAAACAAACGGCGTTACAATATTCGAATTAGAACCTTGAAAATTATGAAATAAAAGAAAACGATTCTGAGGTAAATATTGCCAGCTCGGGCATTTTAATCGTCACCTGACGTTTGTTTACATTTATATGCGCAGCTGCTTACGAATGTTCACTCGTAGATTGCTTTAATTTTTACTGTTAACATCATGTATATAGGTAAAATTGAATATGTCGGACACATTCATAAAAGAATGGGTACTAAATTAGGAAAGAGAAAGCAAGAAATGAAGGGGAAGAAACTTAGTGACAGTAAAACTCTCAGTGGAAAAGGTCGCCTTACGGATGATATTATACACCAATTGACAATTTATTATGGAAATACTATTAAAAAACTTGCAGTTCTGTAAAAGATATGAAAAAGGCAATAAGTGCAATATTTTTACCACAAATGTTCAACCGAGGTGGAACCTACTCACAATTTTTGCCCAACAGGGGAGGGTTGGGGGTGTACATATGAAAGAGCAAGTGCGAGTGGAAATCTGAAATCGTACAAACATAAAAATTCAATCCACCGCCTGTAATGGATACTATCAAAGATATAGTTAAAGATATTAGCATGTCATTATTACTAAAAAAGTGTTTAGGAGGACGTACACAGAATCCAAATGAATCGTTGAATGCTTTGATTTGGAAATTATGTTCTAAAAATTTCGGGTGTGGTTGTAATATTTTAAAGACAGAAGTGAATAAGGCAGTTATTATATACAATGATGGTCAAGCTGAGTGATTACATACTATAAATGAACTTGGGTACCGAATTGGTGATAACGCAGTCTAGTTTGCAGCAGACACTAATAAACGTCGTATTCAGTGGACCGAAATAAAGGCAGAGACGTCTACAATAGATACTCGCAGAGCAAGAAAAAGAGCCAAACTTGTTTCAGTAACAGCTATTGAAGAATAGGAGGGTATGGTATATGCAGCCCGAGCAGTTTTAAACTGTTTTAGTGTTATTTGAGAGAAAATACATTGAAAAGTTTGAAATTTTAAACTAAAACCGTTTTTCTCAAAATGGTATGCGCAGTATACTTGCGCGCACTTTTTAAAAAAACATCTCTCATAAATATTGATTTAAAAATTTCAATTATTTTAAGTACATGATGATATTGCTGAAAAAAATGCACCTACCGTTTTCTTTGAAATATTATTTTTTAAGTATTTATATAACTTTACTTACAACTTTTTAATGCTTTTTCTGTTTTCTAAGATCCTATTGTAATGGTGTTAATATTCTTTGATATTTTAAAATTTAAATAGGTGAAGAATCATACCTAGTGATGTTTCATCACAAAATTGTAAAAATTATTACTGTAACTAAAATTTGTATTACTGTCAGTTTGCGCGCAGTGCTTCAGCACAAATTTTAAATTTTCGAAAAATACAGTTTTAAATTTATTTAAACTTTTAAAAAAGCATAAAAGTACAAATTACTCCATTTTCGAAAAATATTCAAATTCAGTTCGAATTCAAATTCAGTTCAATTCAAATTCAGTTCAGATTCGAAAAATACAATATTTATATTATCAAAGAATTTTAATATTCAAATTAAAATTCATTTGAATTTAATATTCAAATCAAAATTATTATCAAAGAATTTTAATATTCTTTGATATTTTAAAATTAAATAGGTGAAGAATCATACCTAATGTTTCATCACAAAATTGTAAAAATTATTACTGTAAACTAAAATTTGTATTACTGTCAGTTTGCGCGCAGTGCTTCAGCACAAATTTTAAATTTTCGAAAAATACAGTTTGTTTTCTCTTTATAAAACAAATTAAACACTATTAGTAATCTAAATCAAGAAACATAATCATCTATGTATAGCGATGACACACTGAAAATTTCATATATGTATGACCATAACAATTTGACTTATTAAAACTCGAAAATCAGCCAAAATTCTCACTTTTTGTGTTGCGCAAAAGTGATGATTCCCCTTAAGCGATTTTTCGCTTAGCAGTTCCTCGACATTACATTTAACAAGATAAAAGTGAATAACTCTATAAATACTTTATTATTTTTGCATATATTCCCTTTGCTTATAGTATATTTTAATGCCAACAATATTAGAAGTGTTTTATAATGCAGAACTTCAGTAAAGATTCTGAAGTACAGTTTTTAATTTTTTTCAGCAACCTAATCGAAAAGTTAAACTCGATTAGTATAGCGTGCATTTTACCTCGATAAGAGATGTAATATCGGATGACTCAACTTGAAAGGTTTAAAAGGAGAAAAGTATTCGAATAATCATTAAGACCTTTGTTAAAACTCGTTAAATTGCATTTCATTATTAAAATTTTTAAGGCTATTTAATGTTTTAAGTTAACCTTCAATTTAAGGCATGCTTCTGTAATAACAATTCCATTCTCAAACTAATAATTATTCGTTCAGAAACTAACAATTATACTTCATTTATTTACAGATATTTGAAGTTAAATTAAAATTTTTTTGACAAAAACCGATTACGGGTTGATCAGGTAATTCCACACTATTAGCATGGAACTAATGCCAAAATTTGATTGATAAAGAAGAAATATCGGTTTATGAAGCTAGAATAATAGCAAGAAATAATATTAGACGAAATACAGCAACATATGTGTATAAGTTTATAGGTCGTATGAGGAAGTCATGTGATGTCCACATCAGATTTTTTATTTTAGTCATCGTTTTAATTCAGTTAAACTTCTTTCTGTTTGAAACACCTGTTGTTTAGCATCTATAATTCCTGTTACTATAAAATAAACCGTTTGTGGGTGAATATTTGAGACTATGAAAAGACTGTAGAACTGAGAAATAACACATCTTTTGAATACAAGTAGTTTTCTACGCGAAGATGTGCACCTCGAAAGTTGGATTTTGGATCTCCAATTTGGTTTCTATTTATTTTAAGTTTTATGCAAATTTAACTAATTTTTGACAGTTTTCAATTCGAACAAACGGAGTTTTAAATTCTCGTAACTCTAAATTTTGTTACGGGTATTTCATTTTTACACTTCTACATCTTAAAAACTGGAATTTGTTCAGTTTTTGTTAGAGGTTATAAAATGTGAAAACAAAATTCCGAAAATTTTTACTAAATTGCTGATTATGAAACCTGATGGTCCCAAAAAAATGCATTTATTATCTTCTTAATATTTCTAACAAATTCTCTTCCGTAACTAAGAATTAGCACTTTAGTAAAAGTCGCCAAGTGTTCAGAAGGCGTCAAACAATTTAGGCAACCATGAGAATAAAAGTTCTATTTGAACGAGCGGGCATCGCGATATTTCTTTTGTATGCATTCTTTTTGTTGTATCTCGAGTTCCAAGGACTTTTGTCAACATATCAGATAATTTTTATCTTAAACTGAATTTGAAACTACGCAGATGGGGGTTTTGGAGATAAAGTTTCCAAAAATATATGATATTATGCCGCAAAATGGCTAAAGGGAACAGTTGCTTTGAATCTGTTTTTAAATCGATAACTACAAAATTTAGACTGTAATAATAAAATGAAAATTTGAATGTTTTCAGATTTTATATTACGCCCAAAGGGGCATTTTGTAACGTTTTGTGAGCTACCTTTATTTATTAAATATCATGTTCTTCGCACTTGACCATAAAATTCAGTTCAATAGCATCATCGCAAAATAATTTTAAAATGAGCATATTTTTAGAATTTCCGATACGCAGTCTCGCTCGCTTTAGAGATAAAATTTTTTTTTTTCCTGTACAGTGTTGCCATTGCTCGCTTTGAAATCGTTGACTTTCTTAATCAAAAAATCATAAATGCTTTACAAAATATGAAATACATAATAAAATAAATTCAAAATTCAAAATTTGGGGTTCCAGATGCTCATTTTCGGGTGGAGACATACGTTATTCAAAATTGGATGGCTCTAGTTTTATCACAGTGACAGAAACATACGTACATTTATGCAGATTCTTTATTATTTAATTTCTTTAAATATAATAGAAAGCTATAATATTCGGTGGCAACACTTTGAAAAGTGATTGAATTTTTAAAGTTTTGACGCAAAATGCCAAAACGCAATTTATAGTCCTACTGGGCTAACCCCCTTGGGCTAATAATAATTATTTGTTGACTAGGATTTACTTGCAATTTTATTTAATAAAGTCTTCACTTTGCTTGCCTACCCGCTGGGAGGCCTAATTTGATGGAGACATCATTCGAACTTCAAGATTTAAATGCTTAGATTTCGCTGTGGCTGGAATCGTTTGTTTTTTGCGGATTTGGCAACATTAAGTTATGTTTACACACGTATTTGCATGCTTCCCTTTCTACTGTGTTCGGTGAAATCATATTTTTTTATATGCATACTTATCAATTATTTCTTGATTTTTTTCAGTAATAAACATTTTCAGTTAAGAGAATTTTTAAAAAATAAACCAAAATTATAATTTTTTTTTCATTTTGTTTTCAAATTCGGTGTTTGATTTTCGATTTTGTTCCTTTCTCTATAGTGAAATGGGAGGGACGCGAAGTTTGGCGACTGCGTTGAAAGATATTGGTTTTAATATGATAAACTTGCCTTTTCCTTGTTTGGCAATGGTTTTTTTTTCTCGATAACGAAACTTAATAAAACCTAACGGACACGCTTTGTCTAATTTTGAATGCTGCTTGTTAATTTTAAAACAGCATAATTTTAAGCAACGTAATTAAAATCCCTGTTTCACTTCTATATCGCTGATGTGAAAATTGGTGAAAAATATTGCTACGAATTTTGTACATATGCCAATAATTTTATTGAAATTATATGTGAAACTCTAATTTTTTTTTCAGCCAAAAAGGAGCGTTAGCTTAGAAGGGCTAATAATATCGTTTTGGCATTTTGCGTTGGTTCACTATAAAAGTCTGAATCGTCTTTCAAATTGTTGCCACCCAATATTAGAGTCCCGCATTATATTTAAAGAATTTAAATAATGAAGAATCTGCATGAATTTATGCATTTTTCTGGTATTGTGGAAAAACAACGGTACCTGGAAACATCCAATTTTGAATAACGTAGTGCTCCACTCGAATATGGGCATCTGGAAGCCGAAATTTGGAGTTTTTTTATTATCTATTTAATATTTTGTAAAACTTGAACGAATTTTTGTTTGATAAACTCAACGATTTCAAAGCGTTTCATGAATATCAACATCGCGTGCATCTTTAATCATGGATATTTTATGCGCGAGGTTTCTTTACAATTCTTACTGGTATTATGTTGGTAGCATAGCAATGCAAAGACATGTCTAACGGTATTCTGCGTTGGCTGTGAATATCTGTATCACTTTTCAAATCCCATTTTGAATTCTCCGAGAAAAAAACGCCCATTTTGGCGTAATATGAAATCTGAAAGCTTCAGATAAAAAATAAAAAAAAAAAAAAAATAAGGTTTTTTTAAACCCCAGGTTTGCTTTTGTTATATTTTATTCTTTCACCCTAGACAAACAGAACATATACTACCTAATTTTTTGACTAAGCCTCATCGGCTACAGTTTTTATTGCATGATTTTTAAATGTAGTTAGATTTTACTTGATTCCCAAACAATCTACACTTTCCCTTTCATGACGTTATAAAATGGTATCTAAATGAAAGAAGATTGATGGTATACCATCGGCACAAATGGGTCCAGAGAATGACGTCATATCGCAGTCGCAGGCATAGTTGTTCCACATCTGTACACAAACTCCATGGTTTGCGCAGGCGGAATGGCTGCACTTCGTAATAGGACCTGTTTGAGGGGGAAAAAACTTTACCAAACGCAAAACAGTTAACACAAACAAAACAACAACAAAAACAAATGTGTTTAACAAAAAATTAAAATAAAACAGTACAATGCTATATAACGTAAATGAAATTTTAGAAATAAAAAATATCATAGAAATTCTCTTCGAATTATCACTAGTAATAGTTTTTTTTTTTTCAGACGTTTTTGCATATTTCGATTCTACAACTGAAATTATGCCTAAAAATTAAATTTTATAGAATTTGTTGAAACCTTTCGAGAATTTAAAAATTTATCTTAACGAAATTTTTTCATTTTATTTCGACATATGTATTTTGAATCAAAATCGGACGTTTACTGTCATAACACGCAGATTGTTTTCCACATTTCGATTTTACTACACAAATTATGCGTAAATATTAAATTTTACGAAATTTGGTCTGGAATTTATCGAAAAATTTAAAAATTTATCTTGGCGATTTCTTTTTCACTTAATAATTCACTTCGCGAATTTCTTAATTGATGGTAATCTATTTTACTTTTCTTTTCATTGTGCACGAGGGAGAAAAATGTGCAATCTTTATTCTTTGAAATAATTTTAACAAAGTGCGTAAATCACCTTTGGCGTTATTATCGCTTAAAACAAATATACTTAATTTCAAATACGTTCGAATACTCTGTTTTTTGTTCTTATGGTATTCTGCTTTATTACAATTATAATTTCTAACGACTTATAATCATAGAAAATACTTAAAAATATAATGAAGATATGATACTTGCTCCGATCTCTATTAGTTCACAGCACATTGGAAGAATTCTCAGTACTAACACTGAGTTCACAAGTTCAAATAATGCAAATAAAATACAAAAATGAAACAAAACTGGAAGATTCACCTGCACATCCCTTGGTAACCAGAGTTGATGGAATGAGAGCATCCCGGATGGGGTCTCCGGTTTCTCCGTTGAGGTCCAGTGAGGCAAGGCATCCTTGAAATCCTTGCCTAGAATGCAAGAGTCTAGGCAGAGTGGCAAACATAGAGCGTCTGACACCACCTAGATATAATAAACCCTGGAGATCTAGATGGGTATTAGGACCAGCGCTCCTTACCTAAGCAGAAGAAATGTACAGGCATTTTAGAGTAAGTTATTAAAAATAATACAGTTCAGTTACTAACGTAGGATTACGTTCCTCCATAATGGTCTGATGGGAAAGCAAAAATTGAGACGTTATTTGAGGTGTGCCAGAATGATTATATCTTCGAAACTGCAAATGTTACAATCAATATAAATACGTCATTACATAAGTGAAAGAGTACCGTAGCAATCACAATTTTTTAAAAATTGGTTAAAGGATGTACGCAAAGTGACGCGTCAAAAACAGAGAAATTTCGGTGAAGTCAAAGGTCCTTGCGACCGCATGTGAGCGATCCGGTCGTCTGGTAGGCAGTCAGTGATCGGGTCGTGTTTGCAGAATTTTATTTTATTTCGCCAAGCTAGTGGTGTTGCGATTTATGGAAATCTGATAAGTGTAGTAGATTTTGTACCAGTAGAATTTACTGTTAAGCAGCGTAAGAGAATACAGGATTCAGAAGCAGGTGAAATTTGTGTGGATGACGTAATTTTCAATGGGCAGTCAAGATTTATTCTACCATCCGTATACAGGGTGTCTCGTAAATGTTGCGACAAACTTCTGGCGGAGGTAGAGCACATCATAAGGATTAAGAATTGCATAGGAGCCGCTGGGGGCTCAGAAACGCCATTGTTCGCTGTCAGAGGCTGTTGTACAGCAGAGTGCTAGTGGAAAGTGATGATTGCCCCGTTCGAGCGGTATGCACCATATGAAGAGTATGGAACGCTATATGAACGGAGAGCTTGTGAACATTTGATTCCAAAATGATAAGGCGTCTACTCATTTTGGACTGAATGTTCGTAGCCATTTGAACAGATCATTCCCGCATGGATGGATTAGGCGTGATAGACTGGTTCGCTGGCTCCCATGCTCACCGGATTTATCGAGTCTTGATTTCGTTTTGTGGGGAGCCATCAAAAGCGTTGTGTATCACGATCCTATTGGGTCTGAAATGGATCTCGTCAAGACTCGCCTGCGCAAAGCTGCTACAATCGAAGAAACTCCCGGTGTGATTGAACATTCCAGCAATCAATGGTCCGTCGGTGTCAGGCATGTTTGACGTCTGATGGTGCAAACATCGAGTATCTGTTGTAACCTTCAAGTTGTCGTACACCATTTCTATTCATGCCCAATAAATGTTTCAAATTAATCACTCTCTTGTTTCCTTTCCCATCTTCTACCTCTGCTACCACTTAGCCCTGATATTTCCGGGCATGGGTTCCTATGCAATTCTTAATCCTTATGATGTGCTGTACCTCCCCCAGAAGTTTGCCACAACATTTACGGGACAACCTGTATATATATCCATACAACTTAATTCGGGAGATTTAAAAATGTTCTTGTTTAGTGCATCGATGAAATATGATGAGACAACTTTATTGATCGATGAAGAGTTTACCGTAGATACAGATGTTCCTGTTATTATTATAGGAGATTTCAAACGTGTTTGATGCCTAAGATTACTAACAAAAGTGTCAAACGAAATGAAAAGGCATTTAATTTTATGAAACGTCATTTAAATCTCGATAGGGTGCTCAGCATCTATCCCAAGACCAGTTGATAATTCATTTATAGATTTCACATTCACTAGGAATATAACTGCAGACATCATAAACTTATTTCTCATATCATCGACCAATTTTATATAAGGCCATTTTAAATGAATAAATTTATAAATTTAAAAAATATATATATATATATATGTGCGAAATAGCTTTCGTTTGTTTTATTTGTTCTGTCACATCCTCACATTTTTGTTAGTAATCTTAGGCATTCAACACTAGCGGCTCTTTAAACTAGATGAGAGAGACCCTACTGTTAATTTTTTTCTCTTGGACTATATAAGTGGAATTTTAATCAATATTTAGATATAAAGAACATAAGCCATTTTTATGAATGTAAGTAGAGGCGGATGGAGTTCATCTAACAAGCGCGGCCAACTTGGGAATAGGTGCCAGTATCTTTTTCCAAGTAGTTCACCATTCACTAAGGCACAAAATATTAGCACCATTATGTAACTCAATATCACGAGAAAAGTAATGCTCATCAAGGCTGTAGGGACACCTTTAGTGGTAGGGCTTAATACTGATGATCGGCCGTCAACTGGCGGTTTTATTGTTGGCGAATAATAAAGGTGCAGGTATTTTTGTGCTAGTTGACCATCACTCAGTAAGACTTTCTCACTTTCTCACAGCGGTATCTTAACATAATGGCACAAGTGTGGCAACACCCTTATTAAAGGCAACACCCTTATTATTAGGCGTAATAAAAGCAACCCTCATTAAGGCTGTAGAGCAGCGATGTGATGGTCTTAATTTTGCCAAGCGGAGGTCAACTCGCACAAAGGTACAGATACCTTTCTCAGATTGATCAGGACTCACCATAACACAAGTGCGTCCTGATATAAAATGCCAGCAAGCTTTTAAAGTTCGGAAACATGAAGAAAGCAACCCTTCTCAAGGTGACCAGGAATTCGTGATGACTTCATTGCAAGACCAAAATGGTTATGCTTTTGTCATTTCTCGAGCTCAGTAACGTCACTTGACTTACAGAAGTGGGAGAAACGAAGTCGTAAATGGAGTAGAGAGTAGTTGCTTTAGAGTAGTGACGTCACACACTCAAAGATTTTTTGGTTCAGAAAGAGCAAACTTTGAAATACAGTAACCTTGGTTTTTCATGTACATAGGCTGCCACATTTGGTGCTTCGGCGCGCATTTGGAGAGTGACACCTCTTAATAGAAAAGTTTTAAAATTGTGCCAATAAGGTAAAGTAGTTACCGGAAAGAAGTTTTCTACGTGAGATTAGAAGCTTACCTTTGTTATCATATCATCCACCATTAGAGTTTGTTGATGAACGGCAGGTCTTCCAATCGTAACAGCATGCCATTGGTTGTCATTGAGGGTTGCTTTGGTATTGGACCTCACTTCCCGAGGTCCATCTCCTAAGTTGAAAACATAGTGAATGTGACCATCGACAAGTTCCACAGCGATGAAATCTTGGCCCTTTCCAGCGTTATACAAGATGAGTCCATTGGGTTCCATGGTTTTGAATTGGAAGTAGAGGTTCAGAGTGGAGTAAGCTCTCAGCTGTGGCAGGCCCAGGAAAGTAAATTTGGATTTAAAGGTGATGGGGTGATGCACTATGTTGTCTTTCTTGCCAAATTTGGCTGTAACCTTCAGAAGAAAATATTCATTTGAGATTCATATTTTATTCACGCCTTTCCAGTATATGCAACATTACGAGATAATTTTCATTTACGTAAGAATATTTATAAAAATTCTTTCAATGTATTTTTGGTTCATTTTAACCATATCTACCACAGAAATACCTAATCTAACATAAAAATGCTATAACAAATTTAAATATTCATTGGTATAAAAGCTGTGGAAATTTTAAAATGGATATTAATGGTAACTTTGTTAATGGATGACACTTCTATATATTAGAAGTAATACATACTTCGAAATTGCAGCTGCAATTTGTGCTTTAAGCTTTAAAAGTTTTTTGTCTGGTGCGTGACGGAGATGAATTTTTCACAAGCGGAATGAATTTTTATGATTGAGCATTACTTCGCATTGCACGAAGCCATCTTTCTCACACGCTTTTAGGGGATTGGGATATTTTACTCCTGACATTGTTTATTGTAGTATCAGCACAGGACAAAATAGACGAGCGGCCACGTCATTTCTTGTAGTGAATTTTATCAAAATTCGGTTGCCAAGAAGAAAATCATTTTCTTGTAGCATTCACGAGCATTTGGGAAGTTTTCTTTTGCGAAGATTGCGAAACAGTTGGGGAAGTTGTGAAAATGTATTGCGAAATAACGCTCAATCTTAAAAATTCGTTTTGATTTGAGAAAAACTCATCACCACCACGAAGCCGCCCCCAAAACCACTTATAAAACTAACAACATAATTTGGAGCTGAAATTTAAAGCAATATTTTAATCATAACAATATATGGCGGAAACGATTTGCCATTAACATTCAATCTGGAATTTCCAGAAATTTTTAAACTTCGAATTAAGTGACTTTTAGATTAAAAAGAATATAAAAAAGAATTAAGTGACTTTTGAATTACCTAGGATATTGTACCTTTCATACCGTCTGCTGGCATGCTGCAGAAAATACAGATTTTGCTGTTAGGCAACAAGCAGTGTATTAATGATTTTTTTTAACGCCAGAGGTGCTATTAGCCTCAATCCTCACCTTTTTGTCCATTTCTCGTTTCAAATGTGTTGCTTTTCAGCAAAGCGTAAGATATTTGTGTTATCTGTCTTTAAGATTTAATAAAGATACTCGGCTGTTGAAATGGTATGTGTATCCACTGCCTGGTATAAAATATTTTTATCTTTCATGCGTCAGGTTTTTGCCATTTGTCGAAAGGTAAGATATTTACTTAAAAAAATTCCTTTTCTTTATATCGGTTATAAATCTTAGAGATTTAAAAGCACTAAATGCAATTCTTCACCTCTGTTATTAATTATTGTTTGGATCCGTGAAATAATATTAGCTAGATTTATTAATGGTATTTTTTTCTTCTTTTTCATTGAACTATGTTTGTTTGGTGGCTGACCGAGCCAGCGGTTAGTTATTTGAAAAGTGAAACTGACAACAAAAGTGATTCGACGCAAAAGTGAAGGTCGAGATTAGCCCTTCTGACGAATGTGTCGCAACACAAACACTGCAGCAGGAATTCTAAAGATAAGCTGTGTTTTAAAATATTGTCACTTTGCTGTTGGATTTTACGTAGCTTAAGTGATAAGAAATTGCTGTTTAACAATAAAGATAAAAGCAAAAATGCTGTGCAGGTTATGTTGCTAAAAAAAAAACTGAACATTGATATGATTAGCTGAGAAAAGACTGGAAATGGCAACATTTGACATTCTGTCTGGAATCCTAAAGATATGCTACTTTAAGAATTTTGTAATTTTTGTACTAAATGACGTAAGTGCGGAGGAAATGACATTTATTCATAAAGACAGAAGTTGTATACGTGAGTGTTAATCCAACAGCAGATTGCTGGACTGCGAGCTCAGCGAAAGCGTCAAAAGCATTAGCAAATTACCTCGGTGCGACGTTAAAATCTGTATCCTTTCCAATTTTATTTATTTTTAATGTGGAAGATGATTTAAGAGCGTTTTGCGATTGGTATTTGAAAGACCATAGAAATCTGGCTCTCAACTCGTATATGTAAAACAAACATTTTTAAATTCCTGTTACTTTCTTGCTTACGTATTTGCTTAAAATATCAGCTTTATAAAATTAAGCAGAATATTCACATGAAGTTCATAAGCAGCTTAAGTGTTATAATTCACGTTATTGATCCTGTTGTACTTTGTAGAGTGAGTTCATATACTAATAAATAACTCCACTTACCTCTCGTTAATTGGTACTCATATTAACATTCACATTTTCAAGTATCAAATTCTAGTTAATTAGCCGTGCTAAAATTATAGCTTATATTCTTTCTTAAAATTATTTCTAACATGATCAGTAATTGGACATAGTAATTTGAAGAGTAAATTTATTGGAAAATGCTCACCGTTTTCTGTGTTTTTTGAAGAAGGATTTTCCCATGTTGTTGTTTATTTCATTCATATGTCATTAATTTTTGCTAGCCGCCTAAAACAATTATTAATAAAAAGTAAAATATAAAATGAACTTAATGAGTTTAATTAGTCTAATTTAATAGGACCCATTTAGTATAATTTCATAAAATGCAAAACGAAAGCACGAGCACTTTAGTTATCCGCCGCTTCAGTTGCTGTAAGTACTTAGGAAATGAACACACGAACACTTTATCTTTAATAGAAACCCGTATGAAAAAATTGCAAGGGGTTGGATCTGGAGACCTCCGTAGCCAATAAAACAATGGCATATCGTTTGACTCAGCAATCCAATCCAGCAATGGTGTTTTGGTGACAGGTAAAAGTCGTGGACAAAAACGCCTTCAGGAAAACAACGCAGAGCAAAAACATCGCAGGACAAAATAAAGCGATTCAAAAACATCGCAGTTTTAAAACATCGTAAAAATATTGTGCAAAAAAATGAAGCACCTACAAATTATCGCATGACCATAACATAGCAGACGCATGCTTTTCAGGCTTCAGAAGTTATAAATACGTATTCGTATAATAACTTTTGAGCTTAAGAACGAATGAGGAATATTTTTGCTTCTATTATTTATATTTTTAGATTAATTAGTAATTCTTCTGCTGCAAAAGTAACAATGAAACTCGAGCATTCAAAAATGAAAATGAGCAGAAAATTAATGCTACTTCTATAAGGTATGTTTCCCGCCTCCTTAGCATGCCTCTGTAGTGTGGTGGTCTGCTCGCTGGGCACGTATTACAGAGGTGCGTGGTTCGATTCCCGGCGAGAACGTTGCTCATTTTTCATCTTTCATGCTTCCAAAAAATCCTAATGTCTCTACACTTCTAGCAGTTAATAGAATTTCAAATTTATGTACTGACCTAATTAAAACCATTTTTTAAATAATTTCCTTTTTGAAGTTGTACGTATTTTAATGAAAAATATAGTCTCAAAAATTAGAAATGGGAAGTTAAATAACATCTGTAGCCGGGGTAAACTATATATAAAACCGGAGACAGCATCAGTTTCTCAGTTCAGAGCTGACTTTGGAGTATTATCCATGACAGCTTCGTCTTTTATTGATCTTTGCATTTGCGTTGTATTTATCGTTCTAAGCAGTTCGAAGAGCAACTACTGGTTGTGATACTGAGAAGAGATGACCGTATGCTTTTCTGGAAAGTTCGAGAACTGTAAAGTGTTTCTTGAGAAAATAAATTTTATCAAGCTATTATCGGTTTTGTGCGAAGGAAAAAAATGGGACAAAAGAGTTTTGTGTGAAGGAAAAAAAATGAGACAAAAGGGAAAAGGGTGTGAAAGACAAAAGGGTGTGAAGGAAAAAAAAATGGGACCGCGCAAAGGGAAAAAATGGGACATTTCTATATCTCCCATTCTACTGGGCCGAGTGACGAAATTCAAATTGCGTTTTTCATGTCTCGAAAGCTCGACTTAGGATATACATTAGATTTATATAACGCATTTTTCTAACATACGTATTTTGACACAAAATCGAACTTTTCCTTAAATAACACACCAATTCTTTTTCCATATTTCGATTCTACGATTCAAATTATGCCTAGATATTAAATTTTGTAAAATTTTGTGTGAAATTTACGGAGAAATTCAAAAATTTATCTTGGCGAAATTTTTTCAGTTTGCGCTAAGAATAATTCACTTGGCGAACTTCTTAATCTATGGCAACCAATTTTCCATCCCTCTATTATGCCGGAGCGGGAAAAAAAAGAACCTCATTCCTAGCTTTTTACATTGTGCATGAGCGGAAAATAGTCACAACGTTTCTACTTTTCAAATAATTTTTGCAATGTGTCTAAGCCACATTTGATGTTTTATCGATTTCAACAAATATGCAAATTTCAGGAAGCGCCAATACATAAATTCACATATTTCTTCGGAAAATTTGAATAAAAAACTGTAATATTTTGCAGGTTTGCTTAGATATACGTCTACTTTAAGATGATGGTAAAAATTTTATAGGTTATAATGCAAAAATGATTTCGAAAAATTTATAATAATTGTTTAAAAACACAAATTTTAAACATAAGTCATGAAAAATGGATGAATTTTATTTAGAATGAACCTAAATTTCGAAATGTGAAAGGAAGAATCAAATAAAGTTTAATAAAAAAAGAGATATTAATAAATAAATATATATCAAACTCAATTAACATTGAGGAGCTAATATTTTGAAACCTACTGGTGCGATTTTTACAAAACTTGGCAATTTGGCATAATTTGAGTCGTAGGATTGAAATATGAAAAAAATTGGCATGCCACTTCAGAAAGAGCCCGATTTTGTGTAAAAATACCTATATTAGAGCAATGCTATATATAAATCTAATACATATCCTAAGTCGCACTTTCGAGACATGAAAAACGCAAGTTGAATTTCGTCAATCGGCCCAGACTGTGTGCCCGTCGTCCCATTATGTCCATTTGTCCATTCCATTTGCCAAGCCTCGTTGGCAAGTTGTTTCAGCTTTAGCTTGATTGCTGATTGGGGCCATATGACGTGGATAAGGTCGCCTCGCTGTTCTATCGCAGCTTGTTTTGCAAGGGTGTCTG